CACCAACAGTCACATGACCCAAACTAATGGCTGTGTTAACATAGCAGATACTAATCTAATACTGAACATCTATGCTCTGTAGAGCCACCCAGTATTTGTAATCCATGTGGGCATGAGGACAGATGGGGTTCAGAGGGTTAATGCACCTCTTTCCCAGTCTTTAGGTGAAGCTAACCAGCTTCTGGCAGCGTCTGAACAATTTCTCCAATCCAGCACAGAGCAGCTGAATAATTTTCAGCATTTTCTTTTTCCCCACATTTTCATCCTGTCAGTGCAGCTTATGTGATCATTACGGGACAGAAACAGATGAGTTCTGTTCACTTCAGCTCCCGAGAGGTTCAGGAAATTGGACCAAATCCAGTCCGGACTCACCTCTGACCCGCCGCTTATTAAAGCAAATTGTCTCCATTTCTTTTGTCTCTCAGCTGCTGTGGACGTTCCGATTACTCAAAATAATAAAAAACGTCTGTATTTGTGGACACTTGGAGCTACCTCAGAGGGCTGTTTGGTTCACGTCCTGCTCCGAGTTCCTGTGACGGGTGTTAATAGTTGACAAGTGGGGAGTTTTTTCCGACTGAGAGGTGTCACTTTCTATCAGGAGTGACGGCTGAAACCTTTAAGCTCTGCAGGAAAAGTATCACCAAGAGAAAGAAAAATAAAAAAACACCAGTGAGGAAAGAAGGTGGACTTGTGCCACCACGAATAATAATAATAAAAAAATATTCCTTAAAATGCAACCACGGAAACACAAACAATACCCAGAAATGAACAAGATGCCACTTTGACGGATTTTAATGATGCTCCAGAATAACATTTCCCGTGTTTACCCATTAAAATGATGCATCCTCCAGCTTCCACAGCGGCTCCACTTTCTTTGTACGTTGATCTCTGACTATTTTTAAGACGACAAACAGCTTTTGCTCAAGGACAAGATTCTATTTTATTTATTCGAGGCGTTCTCCAGCGATCGCACTCTTCGCTGGGCGTTTGTGGGGGAGTCTTTTGAAAGTTTCCGAGACGCTCGTTGCGGTCAGAAACGCCGGCGTCTTGTTTCGTCTTGCGGGCTCTAAATCCGAATTTTGGATGTGTGCATTGGCTGTAATCAGTCGGATGCAGGGCTGGAGATGGAACACAGCAGGCTGCAACCGCTGAGAACAGAAATAGTGCTTTTACTCCCGCTGCTGCTCCCAAACCAGCTCATTTCTTTGCATGTGTTATTTTCCAGCCTCTGCATCGTCGGAACATGCATCTAAGTTGTACCCTTTATCTGAATGCAGGTCAAGCTCTTGAATTCAGTTTCTGTTCTGCAAAAAAAGAAGAGCAGCAAAATAAGTAAAGTGTTATTATGCAAATCCCTCAATTGCACGTCTTTGTTTTGGGGAAAGAAGAGAGAGGAAAAAAAAAACCAGGAGCAACAGGGAGAGATAACGACGCTTTTGAAGAGATGAAAAGCCGAATTCTGCAGAGACGTTTTATTTTGGCTTTTCTCCTTAATGAATACTTCCTCCTTTGTGCTGCAGCCTCTCAGGGTTTCTGTCGGCTGTGTTTGTGCGCATCGAGGGTGAAAACGCGCCTCCATGTCGACGCCGTCTGCAGGTGCATGTGTGGTGTTGATGAGTGGAGCTAATCTGCCCACATGTTTAATTACAGAGAGGACGAGTGACGAGAGATTAGCATAGACTGTATAAAAGATGGACGTAGCTACCATGACGTCACCCGTTGGTTTCTGCGCTGAGAAAATGAAGGCAGGGTTTTGCTACTTCCTGGTTGACATCTTGGATTTTTGGAGCCAGTGACGTGAAAATCGTGGGAGGGGGGCGGAGCCATAGGAGCAGCGATTGGTCAGACGGATTGAGAGGTGGGCCCTCTCTGCCCGCCCACATTTACCGCCTTCTGCTCGCTTCGTCTGTATGGTTGCTGTCGACTGTCAATCAAGCCAGCCACGCCCCTTGCTCCGCAAAATGTTGACGATTTTTTAAAAATGCAGTATTGATTTATTTTCAGATTGGCCACCTGATCTCTGGACTTGACCATGAAAACTAATAAGAAAAAAATCCTGAGCTGGAGGAATGCAGTATTTCATGATCTGTGATCACTTCTTTTCCAGTTCAAGTCTGTGGGAGCCAGGGCTTTGTGGAGCCAGCAACTAGTGGACGTAGTGATATTGCAGGTTTTTGACACTTCCGGGTTGGCTTCATTTTTCAGGGCCGGTTGCTACGTCCATCTTTTATACAGTCTATGAGCCAACCCTACAGCTCAGGGTTTTTTTCTTATTAGTTTGATTAAAATATTTGTTATTTATAGGCTTCCCTTCCAGAATTGGTAAGACTTTGCAAAAGGAGCACTAGGAGGAGCCAAAAGCCATGAAAACATACACGACTTGTGATTTTTCTCAGAAATGTCGATGCAGGAGGAGCATCTGATAAAAAGAGGATGTTTTGGAGTTGCCACTGAGTCGCCCACTCGCCTCGATTGTTGGTAAAAGCAGCTGTTCTGAAGAATTATCCCTCAGTTATTGAGTTTTCCATTAATAAACTTGATACACTATCTCTGTGTCACACAGGTACTACAGCGCCACCATCCTGCAGATGTCGGGAGTTCGGGACGACAGGCTGGCAATCTGGTTGGCCGGACTCACCACCCTCACCAACTTCCTGTTCACGCTGCTGGGAGTCTGGCTGGTGGAGAGAGTTGGACGCAGGAGGCTCACCTTGGGCAGCATCATCGGTAAGAAACAAGGAAGAGCTGTAACACCTAAAAAGTGGATTATCTGTTTGTTCTACAGACTTTCATTGTTTTGTGAAATGACAGTAAAAACAAATCAAATCATAGAAACAAAAGCATAAATGTACATGTTGATTGAAAACTAGCAGGACAACACTAAAAACCTTTATTTTTATATATGATACATTTGAAAGTAAAATATAATATATAATATTTATAGTAAAATTTAAAATAGATTTAAAAGAAAAACACATTAATTTACAGATATTGACCTTTATTTGAAAGAAAATGTATTTATATTAAAGACTGGAAAATAATAAAAATAATAATAGTAATCATTTTTACATTGCATATTAAATAAAAGATAATATCAAATGAAATCTGTGAAAAAAACTATTTGTTGATATATTAACTTTAAAATAAATAAATAAATAAATACACAGGTCATACATAATGTCCACATCAAAAACTGAGCTTTTTTTTTTTTAAAAAAGGTACATTTAACAGTAAAATTACTGTCTTTCTCTGGGTTAAAATTAGCAAAAAATGTTATAATTTGACAGATATTTGCTGTTATTTGAAAGAAAAAATATTTATAATATTTGTAATATAAATATTAAGGATTAAAAATGGTGCATCATTTTTAAAAATGTTATTTCACAGATTTTTAATAAAACAAATTACAGAAAATATTTTTTAAAATCACTGAAAAAAGTATTAGTTTACATGTTTTTGTTTTGTTTTTTTTGTTTTTTTTAAAGTAAATTCTGAAACAATAAATAAATGGGCCAAAAATGTACATAATGTCTTAATCAAAAATCTGTATTATAGTTATTTGATCTATTACAGTGTGTGAGCAGAGAATTACAGTTTTACTGTGTATAAATCAGCTAAAAAATTCTAATTATTTTGCAGATATTTTACATTATTTTCACAGTTTCTTCTATTTTTGAGCAGATTTTTTTAGGGACCTCAGTTGCCAAATTTTATTTATTTATTTATTTATTTATTTTTTTAACAGTGTAACTGAAAATGCTGACAGCAGGGGATGATATTATTATTATTTTTCCCAATAGGTACATGTTTGAGTTTGAGTCTGCTGGCCGTCGGTTTCCTGATGGCGGCCCAACACACTCCTCCGGTCACCTTCCACCCATTAGACCCAGCCATGGCCAACTCCACCTGCTCCAAGTACCAGTGAGTGAACACACACATATAACAAACAGCAGCCATTTATGGTGTAGTTTCATTACTGATCATAAGCAAAACTTACAAGACATCTACAGCACAGTTATAACACACGTCCTGGAGTTGGGCTCAAAGTAAAGGCCTTTATAAACTGCTCAGGACGTAACTCTGCTGTGTGAAGTCGGTGCCGGTGGAGATGTTGTGTTGGAAAGTGAAGCTTTACAAACATGCAGTGATTCACTATTCAAGTGTCTTCTAGAGATGGAGAGGTGTCATTCTTCACTTTTCACTGCATTATGCCACGGTGCAGATGAACACTTGCAGTGCTAAGTCATGATTCGCTAATGAAACATGTAAAAATGAAAAGCCAAAAAATAGCACCGGGGTGTCAGCATGAGAAAATCGCTGCTCACCTCAGAGCACTTCTGTTCTTTGTAAAAGCTCTCAGTATTTTGCAGTGTCAGAGCATCAATTCAGAGTGCAGCCGAGCGCACTCGGTGCTGGAGAGCTTGGGAGGATAAAACTCTCCTAAAAGGATATTTGTGGTGAAGTTCTCGCAGGTTTTCACACATACATTAATACAGAGCTCGATAGTTTTTCAGTCACACACTCAGACTCGGGGTCAACATTAGTGCCAGCGTCAGTTCTGATGGACTTGTAAATTAGTTGTCAGTTCGTCTTTCATTTTTCACTAATTAAGAAAGTAACTATCAAGATTTTGGCACCCAAACATATAAAGAGGTCATAAAATATGATGTTTTGTTATGTAATAGAAACAGTTAATGTGCCTGAAGCAGCAGTTGATTGACAGAAAATGAAGTGCTGCAACTATTTCTGCTGTCAATATGCTTCCAGCTTCACTGAGGTTAAGATTTGTTGCTTTTCCTATTTGTTATTTTAATTCATTTAATGTGTTTTTTAATAATGTTGAGGTTTGGATTCTTCAAAACAAACACAGTGGAAGTGTCACTTCGGGGTAATTGTGACAGAATTTTTCGCTATTTTCAGAATTTATACAAACAAAACAATCAGTTAGTGGAGAAAGTAATTGGAAGATTAAGTCAGAATGGAAATAAAAATGAGTTGGAGTCCAGTGCAAAATAGTTAAACATGAGCTTCACCTCAAGCACAACAGTAACTTACTGTTTTTGCTTCAATGCACAAGTAATAACATTCCAATAATATAGTATAGATATTTTCTGCAAATGTCTATACTGCTAGGTACAGGTCAGCATTGTATCTT